AAAAAAGGTTTCCAATCCCTAGCAAGGACCCACCCACATCATTCCACTCATGATTTGTCCCCAAAGAAGTTTCCTTGGCCTCATGGGTCTGGGCTGAGGCCCCGCTCAGAGGCCACCCACAGCCTCTCCTCCGGCCCTTGGGCTGATGGTTACCGTTTCTGCCCGTGAACATCCAGAGGAATCTCGGACACTCCACTTCCACCGTCTGTCCGGGCTCAGAGGAGGGCCAGCAGCTCATGTTCTCCCACAGCCGCGGGCAGCCTGCCAAGAAGAGCAGCAGCATCAGACAGGGATGGAGCATGGGCCAAGGGCTACCCTGCTGCCCTGCCGTCATCCCCGACACCCTGGCTACTGGGAGCTCCCATTAAGGACTGCCTTTCTGAGTGCCTTTTCATCAGGGCCCTGGACTCTGCTATAGATGAGCTCTGTATTGACTACAGAGAAGGAGAGAGGGAGGGAGGGAGGGAGGGAGGCTCATTAGTGTAGGTCTGGCTTTCTCTAGAGCAGAGACATCTCCGGCCCTCGGCTCTCATTAAATGACTCAATGGCAGTGAGCCTCCATCCTGGCCACCAGTATAACCCTACGGGGAGCTTTTAAAATACACATAACTGGGCCAGCCATCACCAGCCATCCTGATTTAATTGGTCTGGGGTGGTCCCAGGCATGATGTGTGGTCAAGCTTTCCAGGTCATTCCAAAGAGATGGCGAGGTTGAGAATCCGTACCCAGGGTTCTCAAATTCCAGCTCGCATCGGAATCATCCAGAAGGCTTGTTGCAACACAGCTAGCTGAGCCCCACCCCAGAGTCTCGGGGGACCTGGGAATTTGCCTTTCGAACAAGTGCCCAGGTGAGGCTGCTGCTGCTGGCCGGGGACACGCCGAGAGCCACTGCGCGGCCTTTGGGAGCTGCAGCGGTGCGGCCACTGCCTCTGTCGTGGGAATGTTGCTGAAAGATTTCCCTCTCACCGGGTTTCCTTTACGAGGCCCCTCCTGGAAGATGGACCTGGTCCCAAGGCAAGGAGACGCTGAGCGGATGGTGAACAACTACCACACAGCTGTCCTCAGAGACACTGTTTCCTCTGTGACTTGGCTGCCAGGAAGCTCAGAGCCACGTTTGTGGCCCAAATCTGGTAGATGAAGGACTTTGAAAGGAGTCAGAAGATTGCTGGTGTCTTCAATGCAAAATAAGGCACTTCTAAGCCAGCCTTCCGGGTGATCTGATGCTACGGTCTCCCAACTTTTCTTGTCTTTGGGGACTTTTGTTGTCCTTGAGCTACCATGCCACTCTAAGGTGTCGATACCTGATAGCAAAGCAAATGATCCTTGTCCACAGGCATGCAATGAGTTTTGTCCAGTCGGGTTTCAACTGGGCAAAATTGTGTTCAGCCAGTTCTGCATCTGTTTGTAAATTCATTTCACCATTCAGCCTTCTGTGTCAGGTGCTTTGAATTTTCCTAAAAGCCAGTGGCAACATCGTACTGGTTCTCTCATTAATTAAGTACAATGTTTGGCAGGTGTTCACTTTAGATTTGTGAGTTATGACTGTACTCTCTTTTAAAAGTTATCATTCAACATCACCAGCCACCGATTCTCTCAGCGTTGGCCGCGGGGAAAGTAACGCAGGGAAAGGGCTCCTGGTGCCGGGCTTCTGGGGCCCCGGCCGGTCCCTGAGACCACAGCATGGTGGCGTTAGGAGGGGCTGGGAATGGGGCTGAGGTGACTTCATGAGAAGAGTCGGCCCTCATCCAGTTTGGGGAACAGAGCGCAGACCTCCCCACCAGAGCCCAGGACCCCCAGGGAGAGCCCGGTTTCTGGAGTCCCACAGGCCTGGGTTCCACCCTGCCTCACCACCCAGGAGCTCCCCCAGCCCATTTCTCTTCCTTGGGGCGGGGCGGGGGGGTGGGGTGCCTTCTTCCCAGGTTGTTGAGAAGAAGAGATCAACCTCACACAGCGGGTCAGATGAAAGGCAGCTGCCACCGCCTCCTCCCAGGCTCCTTCCAGTCTCATTCTGGTACCGGGAGCGGCCCAGCCGACTGGCTCAGAGTCTCTTCTCAGGCATGAATACAACCAAGCCCAAAGCATCAATGTCCTTCCAGATCTGTGTGAAGGTCCCCGGAGGCCAGGCCCACGCAGAGGTGCTGATCCTCCGGGATCACCGAGTCTAACTGCAGATCTCTAGGCCGCCCCCAGGAGAGGCTAGCGGCATTCTGGGACCCGGGAATGTGTCGTAGCAACTCCCCAGAGATCTGCTGCCTGTGCTCAGCCGGCCTCGCTTTGACAATCTCCCCTCCCCTCCGTGGAGCCCCTATTTCTGCGCTCAGATCCACCAGCAAACTGAGATAGTGAGACAGGCAGCCTCCCCAGGACCAGGGAGGTCCTGCCCAGGGCAGCTCCACCTGGTGCCTGGGTGCAGGCGGCTCCCTGCACAGGGCGGAGACCCCGTGAGAGCCGAGCCTGTGCGAGGCCCCACTGCTGCAGGCCTGTACCTGCAATGGGCCGGGCACAGCGCAGGCACTGAACACACTTGACTTTAAACTCCATGTTCAGGCCCTGGCCTCCATCCTCTGCCTGCCAGCTCTGCTTGGGTTACACCTGGGAGCTCATTCAATCCACGGCAGCGCAGCCAGGGGGTTCCTGGAGTCACCGAGCCAGGAAATGGAGGCCAGGACTGGCTAGCCACCCTGCTTGGTGCCACGGCACAGGCTCTGCCCACGTGTCCTGTCTCCAGGTGGCACCAATGCCAGCTTCCTAGAGCCCTCCTCACGGGAGCCAGGCTGGGGATGCTGGGAGGGGACTGGAGGGTTGGGAAGGTGAGGCAGTAGGACCAGCCCCCAGACGGAGGCCGGGGAGAGGGGGGGAGCGGGAAGGAGGCCAGGCCTAGATCAGGATGCGGGGCCGAGGGCTCTGGAGGTAAAGCAGCCCCAGGACGACAGCACAGGTTGTGGTCCCGGGAGGGAGGTGTGGAAAGGGAGGGAGAGGCCATGGACAGAGGCAGGTTTGGGTGTGGCTCCCACAGGACTGTCAACGCATCTATGGGACCCAAGAACCATGTGTCTGTCCTTTGAGGAATGTGGGGGATGAGAGCCCCTTAGATATTCCTGGACCTTCAACCCGCTCTCACAGGGAGCCCAGCTGAGGAGGGCGGAGCTCCTCTCCCTCTGGAACTGACCCAGAACCTCCCACTGGCCCGGCTACTGGCTGCCTCGATTCCAGCTGTGGATACCACTCGCCAGGCCGGTCAGGGGCCCTGGAGCTCACAGGCCCGGGGCTCTGGCCTCCCCAGATCCCCCTGGGACGGTGACATGGTCCTGGGAGGGCTCTTCACCGATGACCGTGAGTGAAGCCTGGAGGCAGAGCTGGGCCCTCGCCCCCGCTCCTACAGAGACCCCGGGGGGTGCAGCCCTCAGCCAGGGCACAGCCTCCCTGCCAGCTCCGCAGCATCGCCTGGATCAGAAGCAGGGGCGCCCTTCCTGGCTGTAAAGAATGCAGGAGCCTCTTCCCTCACTTTGGGAGAAATGGATCCAGGGCTGGGCTGACCAGGTCAGCAGGACACTGGCCCACGGCTCCAGTCCACGAGGCTGGACTACCCATGTCCGGCTGGCCAGACAGATGCGAAGGGTGCCAGGGCTTCTGGCAGGCTTCCTGACCTGGGTCATGCCGGGCTGGGCCCGCAGGGACAGTGGCCTGGTACTGGCAAAAGGCAGGGTAGAAATGGTGGTGTGAGAGGTGAGGAAGAAAGGGGGGCCGACTCCCCTATGGGTCCCCGGCCAGTGGTTCACTGCCACACCCTCCACAGCAGCCCTGGAGAGAGAAAAGGGGGGAAAGGGGCCATCTGGCCTGTTCTGGACACGATCAGACACTGTGGAGCCTGTAGGGGTCAGGCAGGGTCACTGCCCCACAGCAGAGAGGACACAACCAGGCTCCAGGGGTAAAGTGACATGTGCAGGTGACAGAGCTTATAATGGTGCGACTCGGACCCCACCTGCTGGGCTACCCTTAGTGGCAGCAGACCTGGATGCTAACCCCACACAAATCACTTGTGTCCTGAGTACACGACATGCCACACTTGCTCCCAGCCTCGGCTTCCCCGTCTGGTCACGGACGGTGTGGGACCGACCCAGTGCCCATGTCAGGGACACCTCCTGCGTGGCGAGCACTGTTAGCTGAGACGTGCTAGAACACTTTACTTTTAATAGTGACACATTCTTAAAGACAATTTTAAATGTGTATCCAAAAGTTATAGAACTAGCATATCACATTTGTGGTTTTATAGCTACTATTGTTTATGATGAGGTTAAGTTAGTAAAAAGTCATTTGGAGAAAAGGGAGCCCTCATGTACTGTTGGTGGGAATGTGAGCTGGTGTAGCCACTGCGGCAAGCAGTATGGAGGCTCCTCAAAAAATTAATTGTGGAATTATCATACGATTCAACAATTCCACTTCCGGGTATTCATCCAAAGGAAAGAAGTAAGTACCTTAAAGAGATAGCTGTAGCCCCAGCATTCCCTGCAGTGTGTTCACAATGTCCAAGAAAGGAAAACAACCTCACTGTCCATGGAAGGATGAACAGATAAAGAAAATTACAGTAAATACTACTCGGCCTTAGAAGGAGGGAAATCCAGCCACTTGTGATAGCATGGATGAACCTGGAGGACATTACGCTAAATGAAATAGGCCCGACACAGAAAGACAAATACCACGTGACCTCACTCATCTGTGGAGCCCAAAGACGTCAGACTCGTAGACCAGAGAGTAGAAGGGTGGTCCGGGGCTGGGTGGGAGAAATGGGGAGAGCTGGGGCAAAGGCCAAGCTGCAGTTACTAGTCTAAGATCTCATGTGCAGCACGATGGGGGGAAAGTCAATTGTTTTAAAGGGAAAATTACTAAGGAAATCCCAGCACAGGTGGTGTGGCTGCAGCTGAGCCGCGGGGATAAAGTATGGGGAGCAGGGAGCTCTGTGCACCTCCGGCCGCTTGCAGGGACCGCCTTAGCTCCAGGGTGTGAGGGAGGGTCTCAGGCCCCATCCCCACCAGCTCCTGCTCTGGGCTGGGGGAGGGCGGAGGGCGTCCTGTCCTTGTCTCCCCGGGGCTCTGGAAGGAAGGGACAATGCGAAGGATTCAGGCCACTGTGGGGTCCTGGTAGTTTTAGGAACATAGTGGCAAAGCCGGACGCCCGAGTTGGGGCTGAGGGCAATCTGATGGGAGAGCTTTGTAAACGGGGCCACTGCTACTGAGCCACTAGGAGGGCTCACTTCCTCTGGG